GCGGCGGCGCGGCCCGGCGCGGTGGGAGAGGAACTGGCTGTCGCTGGGCTCCACCGAGAGGTCCCAGCTACTTCCTGGTGCTCGGATTTGCATACTGCGCCCGGAGGGCGGGGAAGTGACCGTTTGATTCTTGTCCAAGGTTTGGTATTTGGTGTGGCCCTCGTTTAGGGCCTGGCAAGCTGAGAAACCTGGCGAGCTAGCGTGCAAGGTGAGAAAGTCAGACAACCCGGGGTCCAGCCTTGCACCCGCGGGAATCCACGGAGGCTTTCTTGGGGGTTCTGAGGAACAAGGGAACTTCATTCTTTCCTGTGTTCGAACTCCTTAAGGTGCTCGAACTGGGACGACCCAATGCCAGAAACGCAGCCCTGGCAACAGACCTGGGCTGAGTGGGTGCTCAGGGGCGCATTGCATTTGTAATCAATAGGGAATCGGTTCCTTAATTAAAGGTGTACACCACAGACGCTCAGGACATTCGTTGGAGTTGTTAGGATATTAATGGAATTTCAAGTCCCTAGCAAGAACTCCGTTTCTCAATGCCTCGGTTTCCTCCCAGGAAAATGGAGATTGATGAGGGCTCACACCGCTTAACAAGTGGTGACGGTGGCTGTTCCTAATTTCTTCCTACCATCTCTGCAACCCTGCACATAGCATGTTTGACGGATAGCAAAAATCTAACCAGTGCTTATCCAAAGATTGCAAGTTCAAGCTCGGGTTTCAACTTGATAAATGCCACTTGCACATCCCAAGTGTAAGTAAGACCTATCTTAGTCCCTGGGGATGCCCTCATGTTCCAACCTGTCTTATGTTTCCTGCGATCTCAGCTTTGTAGTAGGCTGTGGGTTTTATGAAGAAAGGAATAAGGCACTGCCCAAGATTAGGTCTTTGCATTAGTAAAGCCTGATAAGGCCAGACACTGTTCTAAACATATGCTTTCTTTTTACTAACACTGTTCTTAAGAGCCAGATGCTGTTGGCTTATACATGTAACCCCAGCTATTCAAGAGGCTGAAGTCTGGGGGATAGTGGTTCAAAGCCAGCCTACGCAGGAAAGCCCATGAAATTCTTATCTTCAATTAAACACACCAAAAAAGTGGAAGTGGAGGTATGGTTCAAGAGTTAGCACACCAACCTTGAGGGGACAATCCAAACAAGAGCACACGGCTCTGAATTCGAGCCCGAGTACCAGAACAAAACAGACAAAAAGAAAAATTCTCCAGTCTTGTCTCAGCCACATACCATACAACTGGTGTAAATAGCCCCTTTGTAACTAAACCTACTACAGCAGTCATTTGTTGTTTTTTTATTGTGAAAATACTGTACAGAGGGGTTACAATTACATGGGCAAGATAATGAGTACATTTCTTATCAACATTGTAGCCTCCTCCTTTGTTTCCCCTTCCCATCCCCCGTCCCCCCATCACACCTCCCCCCCCCCAGCAAAGTTGTAAAGTTTGTTTTAGACACAAGGACTTGTATGTCTCATTGTTGCAATGGGTCCACCTGTATCCCTATTTAAACGATTTGTTTTTTCCCTTCCCCGCCACAAATTATAACAACATCAAATACAGTGAAAGCAGGGGTTATACTGTGGGGGAGGGACATACAAAGCAACAAAGAGATAATCTTATAAATGTGTTAGAAACAATCACATGA